CTATGCTAATAGGCACCACTCAGAGTTTAGGAAGGTTTTACACCGTCTAGGAGCTATCACGTCGTTACATTACAGAAAGAATATTGAGGGCAACACACATGTCCAAGCCTTAGATAATTTGAAGATATTTTCTAAGTTACCAGTCAATGGGAGGCAATGAAGGACTTGCACGGTACCTACCCACTTGCAAATTAATAATCATCACCTTGAATTCCTCAACTATAAATAGAGGACTCCCCCTCTCATTTTCGGGATTCTGATCTTGAACCCTCATTCTAATTGTAATCTTTATTTTCAAAGCAAAGATAATCCGCGAGAAAAAGACTGACTTAATATTCTATCTGAATACTCAATTATTATACCTCTGCACACTGTTTGCTGTACGCGACCTCTTATAATCTCTCATATATAAAAGAAACAGTGGACGTAGAATTCGCTTTAGGCATCCGAATCACTTTAAAAATCATATATCTCATTTATTATTTAGCCTTCCGTATTTTGGTTGTGTTGATGCGTGATTTTGGCACTAACTAATTGACACGTGCGTAACGTTGATTGGTTAAGAGACACACGTGATTATAGATGAAATGTAGAGTAAATGCAACAATAAGAGCTTTTTAAAGTGGTTCGGATGCTAAGGTAGCAAATCCTACGTCTACTGATAGTTTGTATTAGAATTGTGGGTCAGGTCACAACAACGGACGGACTTACAAATAATTGGGGAAAAGTAAATACAAAAGTATAATGATAAGAGAGAGAGAAAGCTAGTTCAGAGTGCAAGAAGGTTGAATCCTTTTAATGAAAATATCCTTCCTTTTTATAGTGAGATGAGTGCAGATAACCATCATTAAATCCGTAGGTTGGTGCGAATGTCATAACTAAATCTGGCTTTACGTCACATTGCCCACCTTCCAAGCTGATTTTACGCGATTTGGAGCAGGGAAATGGACACGTGGGAGCTCCACGGCGCCTTGCATGCCTGACGTGTGCTTACCGTTCTGACGGGAGCAGGTCACCCCCATCAAGTGATTTCCCACGTCAGCCCTTGATTTCCCAGGCATAACAGGTTGCCTGTAATTTCTAAAAACAGCTTAACATTTTGCACGTGCGAGTGATTGGTGTCAAAATCACGCATCAACGATATGTATACTCATTGTTATATATATACTTGCACATGTTGATGCAACATTTCTTTGTGGGTCAATGTCTTTTATTTTTTCATAATGAATTTTGTTGTGGTTATATATATATATATATATATATATATATTGAGTGAAAAAATTGGGTTAGGTGAATAGGATCAATAGCTATAAAAACTTAAGAACATATGAAGGAGAAATAATCAAATCACGTGAAGAGCTTTCCCTATCCCTACTATAAAAAAATGGATATTTCTCTAGTGTGTGTGTGTGTATATATATATATATATATATAAAGCAAATCTTCTAAAGTAAATGAGCTTCATCAAAAGATAGCTAATAGATATGCCTCGCTTTCTTGTGAGCATATATATATAAGGGGCCCCAATTTATGCGAGGTGACACTTTGTCATAATCATATTTGGGTATACAACGAGAATACTCAGACATGAAGAAGAGGGAATTGACTCATATTTTCTTTTCACTTTAATTATTTGAAGCCAAATAGTCAAAATGTTGGGATAAGTATAGGCATAGTTATTTATGCAAGGTACATCTTTGTCAAAGAATCTTTCTGTGGGTGTGAGTGAGTGAGAAGAAATTGGTTACATAAAAGAGGAATTATATGCATAAAAAGCACACAAATTAGTATATTATATCAATAATTTGGGTGAAAAGCATTTTACAACTCAAAAGAAAGGAAAACATGTCTTCCATTGATATTTCTCTTCTCTTCCATTCCATAACTCTTTTCAACATTTATGCGGGCCATTATGTCTCCCTGACATTTACCAAACTATATATATATACACGAGTATTTTATATTATATGAATGTGTTACACGAATCCATTTTAGTAAATTCACCCTTAAAACCAACTTATAAATGAAGAGTTTAAAGGTTAATAAACCACCCACCCGCCTAAGGGTATTATCTGTTAGAACTTAAACCTAAGGAAGAGTTTAATCTAAAATACTAGTCCAATAGGTGGGAGAGTCTCTAGACTTAAGTACCATACTTGATGAGTGTGAGATCCCGATGTAGGATCCTAACATTATAACCGCCCCTTTAAGAGCCGATGTTTATGACGGTTTTCACTCTATCGACACTAACCTGACGGTAGCCTATTCCTCCTTTGGACGGCTTCACTCACCTATTAATTATTCGATGTAACACCCCCTCCCAAGAAAAGCACATTGCACCTTAATCTAACATATATATAATCCTTTCCGCAGCCCAACTCTCAACAAAAAACATCAATATTAGAGCTCAAGCCTAAGGAAAAGTCCAATCCAAAAGACCGACCTAATAGGTAAGAGAGCCTCTAGACTTAAATATCACACTTAATGAGTGTGAGATCCCGATGTGGGATCCTAACACTCTCCCAACTTTTAGACCGATTTTTTGGGTTGAGCTCTTCCTTGTACTTGAGTTCTTTCTTAGACTTGAGTTCTAACATTATCCCTCTCCAAGTTATTATGTCCAGTACAAGTGCTCATTATGCATGATAGTTGACTCTAATAACAATTGTTACGAACCCAATGAAATAAAACTCACCTGTAAAACCAACTTATTAGGGGAGGGACCTTAAGGGTTAATAGACCACCTACTTACCCATACTTAGTAGACGTGAATCCTAACAGAACGATGATTAATTTTTACAAGGTAAAAATTCAATCTTCATCAGCCTTGAAAGATATGGTTAAAGTTGAGATTAAATGGTGATCAACCTATAAATTCTTGAATTGGAGACAACTTATAATAACTTTGCATTGGATGCTCTGTCACAGTCAGGCAGGTCATTTTCTCTGTTCAACTTTATTAATCGTGTAATAAGATGAATATTTGGCTGCGTTTTATGTATAATAAAATAATATAATATATACCATATATACCTTTTTTTAGTTTAGAAATAGAACCCCACCACTGAATTATCTTTAAGTTCCCACCGGCCACCAGAAGCCAGTTGGTATATAACTACTGGCCTTAACTAGATAAAATCATCACATTTATTCAAATCTATGGTCACTAAAGTTAATATAGCTACCACACTTTAAATAACATGGACAGCGATTAGCTATACAGCCTTCCATTTCAGGAAGCTTCATGCCAATGGACCAATTTATGATTCATGCTTGCTGTATTTTTAACTTTGTTCTAATTTCCACTCAAATTTTGGGACATTTTTATCATTTCACTTTACTGATGAGGTGAGATCGTCCAATTAAATAAAAATACGTATAATTAATTTTCAAAACCACCTTATAGTAATAGATAGTTATTAATAAATCATGAAAATGAGTAGATTAAAGAGAAACTTTGACAAATATATGATATTGTATACCTCTATGCTATTGGATGATTTCACCACATCAACAAAACGAGATTGTAAAACTGTCACGTAATCTTATTTAATGGAAGAACAAAAGACAAATTAAAAAAAGTGATGATGTCGTACTCATGTTGATTGCTAATGTATTTCCTCGCAATAATTGTCATACAGTACAACATTACTAATATTGTATACCATTATTTTATTAGACGATCTTACCACGTTAACAGCGTGAGATTGTAAAACTGTCACTTAACCTTATTTAATGAGAGAACAAAAGACAAATTAAAAAGAGTGATGATGTCATAGTCATGCTGATTACTAATGTATTTCCTCACAATAATTGTCATACAATACAACATTACTAATATTGTATACCATAATTTTATTGAACGATCTTATCACGTCAACAACGTGAGATTGTAAAACTGTCACGTAACCTTATTTAATGAGAGAACAAAAGACAAATTAAAATGAGTGAGGTTGTCATACTCATGCTGATGTATTTCCTCACCGTAATTGTCATACAGTACAATATTACTAATATTGTATACCATTATTTTATTGGACGATCTCACCACGTCAACAACATGAGATTGTAAAACTGTCATATAACCTTATTTAATGGGAGAACAAAAGACAAATTAAAAAAAAGTGATGACATCATACTCATGCTAATTGCTGATGTATTTTCTCACAGTAATTGTCATTAATTACAACATTACTAATATTATATATCATTATTTTACTGAACGATCTTTTATAACCTTATTTAATGGAAGAACAAAAGACAAATTAAAAAGAGTGATTATGTCATACTCATGCTCATTGCTGATGTATTTCCTCACAATATTTGTCATAGTACAACATTACTAATATTATATACTATTATTTTATTGGACGATTTTATCACATCAACAACTTGAGATTGTAAAACTGTCACATAACCTTATTTAATGGGAGAACAAAAGACAAATTAAAAAGAGTGATGATGTCATACTCATGCTGATGTATTTCCTTGCAATAATTGTCATACAGTACAACAATACTAATATTATATATCATTTTATTATATATCATTATTTATTGAACGATCTTACCACGTCATCAACGTAAAATTGTAAAACTATCACGTAGTCTTATTTAATGGGAGAACAAAAGACAAATTAAAAAGAATGATGTTTGTCATACTCATGCTAATTGCTGATGTATTTTCTTATCGTAATTGTCATATATTACAACATTACTAATATTGTATATCATTTTTTTATTAAAAGATCTTACATGTAAACAACGTGAGATTGTAAAACTGTTACGTAACCTTTTTTAATGAGAACAAAATACAACTTAAAAAGAATATTGATGTCATACTCATGCTGATGTACTTTCTCACAATAATTGTTATACAGTACAACATTACTAATATTATATATTGAATCGATCTTACTACGTCATCAACGTGAGATTGTATAACTATCACATAACCTTATTTAATAGAAAAACAAAAGACGAAATTAAAAAGAGTGATGATGTCAAACTCATGCTGATTGCTGATATATTTCCTTGCAGTAATTGTCATCAGTACAGTATTACTACTAGGTCTTGGAAAATTAAATTAAAAGAGTTTGAAATCCATAAAAGATAAGAAACCTAACCCATCTGGATAATTGCGACAAATAGAAACATAAACCTAAAACGTATTAAATTTGTCATATATATCTTTTACATATATGTACAATATTGTACGGTCATATCAAATATTTGAACAAGAAGCAAAATTACTTAATACAGAGTCTAAACAGTAATCGAACATTCAAACTTGAACTTAATTTCTCATCTCATTACCGTTGCCATGATTTACCTGTGACTGCAGCGGTAGATTGTGCTGGGATAACTCCTCCTGAGGAACACCTCAGTTATTAAAAAAAACAAAAAGATGAACAAATTAATTCCACAAGAAAGGCTCCTGTTCATACCAGAATCCATAATCAACAGGTTCGGCTTGGGTTAGCTGCCATGCAAAAGAGTCCCAAACCTCATCAATTTGATGAATTCCATCAAGTGAGAGATCGGGAAGGCCAAAGAATGCATCATCTTCATAATTATTATTATATAATAATGAGGTTGAGGATTCTTGAGAAGCCACAGTACTCTCTGGGGAGAGTGGATGTTCAAGTTGATGGGCATGGGGTATGGGGTAGGTTAAAGCAGCTGCTTTTGCAGCAGCAATTTGTATGTCCTTGGGCGATGAACTGGCCGGACGGGGAAGCTGGTGAACTAATTCCGGGAAATTTAGGTGAGCCGAGTGGCCTTTAATTGCAAGAGCGGCAACATCATGAGCTCGAGCAGCCATTTCAGGAGTTGCATAAGTCCCTAACCAAATTCTCGATTTCTTCCTGGGCTCTCTTATTTCCGAAACCCATTTCCCCCATTGACGCATTCTTACTCCTCTATAAGTTAGATGCTTCTCATCATTAACCACCTTTCTTTTGCTTTCATTAGCTCTGGAAGAAGGTGAATGAGAATGAGAAGAGCTTGAGGGTTGAGCTTCACATTCAACCTTGATTGCAGCTTCCATTGAGGTTTGCTCTGTTTTTGTGAAAATGTTGTTGTTAAAACGATCACAAAATGATCCTTTTATCACACACTGAAAAACGTTTAATTAAATAAATTTATTAAATAAAGAAGGTGGGCCTAGCTGGATACAAATGGGGGAATTTTAACTTATACTATTATTATTTTTGTCGTTATTGTTGTTGTGGATTTTGAAACAATACATGGATTGGAAAAATATCCTGCACAGTAGTCTTGTTGTTTTTCTTTCTTCATTCTTGGCCTCTTCTTTTATATATAATATTATTAATGATTAAACCAATTTCAAATTTCCTCATGTGGCCAGTGATATGACAACTTGCAAATTTTTATAGGTTGGTACAGGAATTGGGGTGCGTTGGATCTAGCTCTTCCGATCGTCCATTAATTGAGAATTCAAGGGCTGGAATATTATAGGGCTACTTTATTTAGCATCACGACAAATGATATGGTCAAAGCATATTTTTATTGCGTGTTTAAACAGCGTTAATCGTAGTTAAATGACAACATATTCAAATGCTATTATTATTTCAATCCCAAATGCTTCCAAAACATTCACTATTTTCTTTTTATTATCGAATTTAAGTTTTACAGCATTGCTTTTAAAAGATCGGTACACTTCGATATAGACCACATATTCACCATACCGGTATATATTAAATATTCTTTTTGTTTTGTGTTTTTTCAGGGACAAACATGTATGTAATGGGGATAGAGTTTTTAATAATTTGCTCAATTTGTCCAAACAATAAGACAACTTATTCAAATTATAATTGATTTCTTTTGTACTTTAATCACCTACCCTATTAATATAATTTGCATTATTCCCTCCCAATTCCACACATGCTCTGCTCTTATTCAAAAACCACTCTTTTTATTAAAAAAGAAAAATCGAATTGCTTCATTTAATTAAATTATCAACCACCATTTAGTATATTTTTGCATTAAGTCATAGTCCAACTCTCAACCAAAAGAACGTCCCTTTTTTTTTTTCTTTTTTGTTTCTTTTAATAAAGTACTGCAGCTTGTGAATCATATTCTTTTATTTTTTTTTAAAAAAAAAGTGTTCATGCACACTTTGGATGTTTTTGTTCTGCTTTCAAAAGAAAATTAACGTATTTGGAAAATTTGATCGTCTAAAATTGACTCAAAAGACAGGGATAGTTTACACATTCTTGACCACATAATTATTAACTCATTGTTATTATTTGTATATTCACATTCCATACATGAAAGATTGATTAGTCCATAATCCCACCAACAAAGTGATTTGTTTTATTATAAAAGATTAATTAGTCTATAATCCCATCAACAAAATGTTTTGTTTTATTACAAAATCACCCTCAATAATCTCAGATAAAACCATAAAGGTGAATTGCACCAAAATGTTCCTTTGGATTGGCATGTATACGTATCAGAGAAGCTTCAACTGTAAATGTGTAAGATATTCAATTTCAAATTTATCTTCCTGTCATGGCCGCTCCAAATTCAATCTCAATCGAAGCAACTATGGATTCATCCAATTTACAATATACTCTATTGCCTTAAACAATATTATATGTTATCAGATAGTATTTGTATAAAATGGTGGTTTATTTTCATGTAAGCGCTCTTAAATTTGTATATTTTGTCGTATTTACCTGAAGCTACGGAGCAGACAGATTTTGTCGAAGCCCAAAGAAACAATAAACCTCAACATGTCCCAAAAGTCAGCTAAGAGTTAAACACCCATCTCTAGTGATAAAATCACATCTTGTCCGGTCAGTCTCAAGTCCTGCCAAATTCACGTGCCAACAAAACAACTTTACAGTTATGTCAATCCTTTAAACAAATATCTAGAGTACATCTGAAATATCTGTTGAAAAGTGAGGTTGCGCTGGAGTTCAGTAAAACACGTGTCAATCCTTTAAAGAAAGTCTAGGAAATATCAGATAAAAATTTGTTGAAACTTAAGGTTATGAATCATACCATATCTTCTGATTGTTGTATATATTTACAAGTAAATTTGTTCCAAAAGTCAATTGGTTTGGCAGATACAATACTATCATATTCATATATCACTTCCTTATTATTCAATTATCGGAGTTCATCAAAGTCATGCGCATAAATAGGAGCCCACAAACTATTCCATATTTAATTGTAATTCCACAGCCCACTCTAATCCATTACTTCCACAAAACAACAACTTACAAATTGTGAGACTAATTTGTTGCCAATCAATAACTAATTCAGGCTTTAAAAATCACTGTATAATTAATTTAGTGGGCAGTTATCATAATGGATAAAACCCCTTTATAATGATTCTCTATATATAAGAATAAACTCTATATAATCATAAAAAATTATATTCCTAATTGAGGATAATTATAAATAAGAATAAACTCTATATTGTAATAAGTTATAATTTTTTTAATTCCTGTCTCAAGAAAAATTGACTCTATATAGTAATAATTATATGTATATTAAAAAAAAATATGGTATATTACATTAAAGGTTTAAAATGAAATAAAATATTTATCTGAAGTTGATTGAGACAATAATTTATATTTTAGAATTGTTATTACATCTCTTAACTTACAAGTACATTACTTATAGAAAGGTTTTACTGTCTATGTGCTGTCTCACGCTCTTAACAATTTTAAACTTGTTTTGCACGATTAAGTAGTCCTCCTGCCCTGCCTCCATGACGATGCACATAAATACGAGCCCACAAATGCTTACGATTAACCAAAAACTTAGCTTTGGATTCACCATTTAGAACCCTAGGTATCACTGTTGATGTTGTAAATAATATACGTCCAAACTGTGGATCCTGTCCCAGACGACTTTGTTCAATGATAACATCTTCCACTACTTCACCCCACTTCCTGCACAACAATAAATTAAACCATTGATTTAATTACCAATTTCACTACTTAAATTATGAAAAAGCTTATGTAATTACTTACGAGGTAAAGAAGTTTACAATTTCTTCACGTGTTAGAGGGTGGCCTTTGGAAAATGTTAGAAACATTGTCTTGGCATCTTCCGGAGATTGTGTAGGATGAAACTCTGAAGCTTCAGCATTCAAATTTGATTCTCTTGGAGTTACATTAATGGCTGCAGCACTGGAACTCTCGATAAAGGGTCTAACCACAGGCCTCAAACCGGACTCGTCGACTTCTATAGCGGCTGTGTCACCAAATATTTTGTTACAAACAGTCTCCATTATGTGCATGTAGCGCTTGTATATGAACTCCCGGTTGTAGTAAAAGAATCTGAAATTCATAGGTTCATCCAAGAGGCCTTGAAAAACAGGATTATCGTGTAATACAGTTGGTTCAAGAGCATCAGGTTTCATGCATTCCAGGCATTGCAATGCTTCGTTGGAGAGCGCTTCAATGGTTTTGTTGTCGTAGGAATATATCGTTCGAATTAAGTCATGATAACCAATCTCCTCTAGTACAAGCCAAAGTGCTATTGTTCTTTTAACTTCTAGCGAAGTTTTGCCGATAATGCGAACCATTCTGTTGAAGAGTGATCTCTCAAGTGTGTAGAAGAGTAAAAGATCAACAAGGGCTCCAACTCTAGCCATTGTTGAACTGTGTGAAGAGCATCAGTTCATGAATTAACAAGCTGTCTCAGAATAAATTAAGGTATTTAATTTGTGTGTACATAGCAAACGAAGAGTCGCATAAGAAGAAACATGAGAGTAAAAATAAATTGACGCTTTGGGCATAGTATTCGTGCCTCTTTGGGAAAGAAAAATGCATTTATTTGATTAAAAGTATTTGTTGACCCTGGATTGAGATCTTTAATTAATTTCCTCGTATCCCTAAATAAAAAATTTCTTGGAATAGTTATATATACATCACCCTTTGTAAGACCCAAAAAATCATGGAGTAATGTTCATCTTTTTATGTGTCTATATGCCGGGAATGAGAATAGATTATAGTTGGAATAAATTTATGGATTTGACAAGAGTTAGTGATACAAGTTTTTGTTCGCTTTATTTTCTAGAACGAGAATGAAGAGAATCAAACATTTTTTGACATTATTATGATAAAACAAGCGCGGCAAGCATACGCAACAATCCATGGAATTTAATCAATTTATACTTTGTTGTCTATAAAGCTTACAGAACTCATGAAAGTGAGATCGAACCATAGAGGTTAGTCCCATGTTCATTAGGAAGTAAATTCTACATCAATTTCTAAATGGATAGACATGCTACATCAATTTGAAATAGATATAGTACACACTGATAATGGCTAAAATGCAAACATCAATTTAAAAGGCCCTTAATCTGTAATAAGAGCAATTATTTTATCCTTCCACACATTTAAATTTTCTCTGCCATAATTTAAGTACACTTATTCACCAATATTTTCCATTTAAGGCATCCAATACAGGGACCAGAGCCCATTCTTCTGATCACAATCTAGGTAATTTTATTGGCTTTAAGTTAACTATTTTATGATACTGATTATACTATTTTAATTTGTAATAGGAGCCGTTGTTCCAGTGCTTATGTCCTCAGAGTCTTGCAGTTCGGAGCTGTTGTTTCAGAATGGGGCGAATATATTCATGGTAGCCATCAGGTACAACTGAGTCATTTAGAGGGTCCTTCCAAGCTTCCTCGTAGAGGTTTGGATACACATTTCCATCATACCGGCCTAGGACCGATCCCAGAAAATGGTCAGTATAATTGAATGAATCAACAAGGGCAACCGCATTAGGACGGACCTAACAATCCACGAATTCAAAATTGTAATTAGATGGATGTAAAATTAATCATTCAGCAAGAGGGCAAGTTAGGTAAATTATTTTTAAGAAGCCCATACCTGGGAATACAAAGATCTTAGCTGCTCATTAGCAAGTGAAGCTTGCTTGGGAGTTATGCAGCCAGTGGATACAAAATCACCCAGATTTTTGTGAAGAATATGCAAAGCATAAATGTTGCAGAGCATTCCTAACACTTGTTTCACCCCCTTTCCAGGTATTTCTTGTCGCAATTTCTCAATGAACCTGAAATAGAAAGAAGTTTCTCAAAAAACCTTAACAAATTGAGAGGATATACAAATGCGTCGAAAAAAATTTGACCCAGAATTTAACTTAATTTTTGGATTCTCAGCATACAACAGAATCTTTTTCTGTTTCCAATTCACTTTAAAATTTCTAAGAAATTTAGCATAAATTTGATGTTTGGGTTTGACTCCTTCAGTGTCAATTCATCAACAGATCCCTTTACCAGCAGATGTCATTCATGTACAGAAATAAGGCCCATCAACTTTTAAATTTGAGACCATTGATTGGATCAAGAGGGAGGAACTTACTTTGAAACAACAATTAACTGGCAATGAGCAACCGCTGCCTCAGCTAAATCAGCTGAGAGTTCTGAAAAGCCTGAAGAGAAAGGAAGAATAAGTGAAACACATCTATGTTTTGAGCTCAACTTAAAAGATCACAAGGAAGCCAAATTCCCAGGCCTGGCAGGATTTAAGATGTTTACAATACTATGAAAATGAAAAGCTCAACCTTCTGCATCTCATATAAATTCAATCATGTTAGCAAGAGACATGTCAATTAAGGAAAAAATTAAGGTTCAAGGCCTCTAAATAGCAGTCCATGCAAGCGTCTTGTTTACAAATTTGGTCAAACAGAAAGTTAAGAAGACAATAGATATATGTGAGATACATACCAAATTTATGAATAAAGGGAAAGAAAACATACCCTCTTCTGTATTTGTGAACTTGCTCAGGTTTTGAGCACAGGCAACAGACATCCTAGTGGCCCTTGCTTCAAAAGCCTCCAGTATTACTGCAGGCTTTAACCAATCTTCAGCTGCAAGACATTGAAAAAAAAAAAAAAAATATTATGAATATACATGAGCACATTTAGAAGAACCTGCAAGTGTTCTATTGTGACAGGAGTGATCTACAAAGTCTGTTAAATATGAAACAATATTGCTATCAACATTAAAAGATAAAAGTATTACCTATTTGAACCTCACAACGACACTTCATCAGATGTTCCACTTGTTCCATGTAAGATATTGTCCCAACTGGCTTCTTTCCAGACCCCAGTTGAGAGACAGTTTTCATGAGAAACCTTGCAACCTAGAAAAAGAATTTTCTATAGAATGTCATTCACAGTCCAAACCATCACTTGGGGTCAGGTATGTAAGAGGGACAACCCAAAATCAGCAAGAAAAGAACTGCATACAAATTTTGGTCCTTTATAAACTGCAAACACATTGACAACAGGGTGCTCCAACAGAAAACTGTATAAACATATAATCTTAAAAGTGAACCCAAATTAAACAAGGTAAGTTTGGACATTTTAAAAACCTCCTTCATCAGTTCAAAAACTTTGTACATATACAGAACCCATGTACAATAAGAACCAAGAAGAATGAATGCAATAAACTGCAAATAAAAGTTGCTGAAATCAGATTATTTTATTTTTCAAAATACCTGTAAAAGTAGCACAGTGTTGTCTCCTTCATATGTACAAGCAGGGACATATACTGCAAATAGTTCTGGAAGTCCACTGCTACACAAGTATCCATGGCCACCACATAATTTTCGACATTCCTCAATCCCATCCTGCCATCAAAGAAATTATCATTTGGAGTATTCCCAATAAATAAAACTGCAAATCAGCTTTTATAGACACAGATTATCAAAATGGAAAGCAAACACTAGCAAAACAAAGTGCAATCATGAAGTGGTAGAGTCAACATAAAGTAAAATGGCCATATAAATGAACCACAAAATAGCAGTAATGACCAACCACCAAAAAAAAATAAAAGCATAAAATAAAAATTTGAGCATTAAAAACATGAAAAAAAAAAAAAAAAACGACACCTCTCATCTGATCCTACAGGGCAATGAAACTAATTAAGCTAACATAAAATTAACCATCATTGTTCTCTCATTAGCTAGGTTATCATGAGAGAACAATGATGAGTACAGGAAAGTGAATCAACTTCTGAAGAAAAGGAAATAAAACCAGTAAAATTAACCAAAAAAAGGGCCAAAGATCAGTTAAAGTAACATACAGCTGTGGCAGAAGTAGTCAGAGACTTCAAACCCGCAGTACATGCATGAGCCTCAGGCAATGTCGAGAAATCATTAGCTTGCAATCTTTGTGTCACATCGGTATACAGCCATTTCAACCACTCACCAACAAATCTGAAAGCATAGGCAGAAGCGAGCAATGGGAAGAGTCTATTTTGCTGAGTTTTGTAATCAATCACCTAAAGCAAGAAGGTACCATGAACATAAGCTACAAACTATTTTGTAACAAAATAGGAAAACAGTGACCAAAGCCTCAGCAGCAAGATTAGAACTTAACAAAGCAAATTTCTCTGCTCTATATGTTAGAATTGTAAACAAGAAATCGCTAATTCATGCCTTGTCCAACTATTTGAAAGACAAGGACTGTATCTGAGACCCCACAGAATTATGAGGATCATCACAACATTGATCTTCAAGCTCAGTATATCTACAATAGTAGGCAATAAGGTATGAACTAAATCAAGCATGCCAAACCATCACAAACTTCAGCTAATCAAAGTTTGGTGAATAATATAAAAAGGCATATGCTCAAACAGTAGCAAATCCCTAATAATATTAACTTAAAAAAAAAAAAAAAAAAAAAAAGGAAAAGGGTTTTTCTAGCATACCTGGGTCTCAGCACCACCATTCTGTGAACCAAATTGTCTACGAACACAACTGTACCTCGTGGCAATACAAACTGCTCGTGATAGAGCATTAGAAGCATCAGATACAATTACTTGACGAACATACACCATAGTGCCATAAACTAACTGTCGTGGAACATTGGATTGCATATATTTCCCTTCCCTTGTAACTTGTGAAACCCTGAGACATTTGAAATGAACTTCAACTTACAGTATACAAATAGCTATGATGATGATAAATTCAGCTTGACTAAACCATGGGAAAATCACATTATTAACTCAAGGATATTTATACATCTTGCATGTATATATGTAGAAGTAGGGTACTAATACAACTTTTACTCCTCCGGCAGTCTCACTTTTTAATAATGATAGCAGTGATGATAGAGTAAATCTCTAGACTCTTTATCAAACAAAAACTTCTCATTAGAGTGATCGACCCAGAAAATTACTAATTTTTAGAAGCAATTTTCTCATTGTGCAGTTCATAAAATTCATAGGTTCAAATTATACAGAGGATAGTAGTAGAGAAAGCACCAACCGCATCAACATTTGATTTCTAGGGATACGCACATGATCAAATCTCAGAACACCATTATCCATGGTGTTATATCCCCCATTTCCAAACTTCATTCCGATATCACCAACAATTATGCCAGGAAGTGGTGAGTGATCATCCAGGCTCCGTAGCTGTACAATAAAACCTGAAAATGGCAACTTTTCACAATCAATACAAATAGTCCATCCATCATACACGTAACTCCAAGCAATTGATGATATAATTACCATGCACTCCATGGTCCTTGCCATCTGTTATTAGTCGTGCATAAACAACAGCATGCGTGGAAACTTTACCCAATCCACCAGGCCACCACTAATAATAACAGAAAGTAAAATAAAAATGATAAGAATCTGATTTGAGAATGTTCAATCAATTCTACACAAGAGCATAACAACATAGAGTAGATACACTTGTTTAAGTAAATGCACACTTCATAGCAAATATAGCACATACTTGTACAAGGAGAAAAAGGCTTTGCTAGATTTAATCCTAATGACTAGCAAAGAACCTCTTGTTATTTTTCGATTAAGGCTATTGAGCATGTCTCTGATATTCAATAAAACTATAGATAAAATGAAAATTAGTCACTCTTCAAAAGTCATTTAAAAGCTCTATATTTTACTCACTTTGCTTGAAGTAAGTGTAGGACTGTGAACGACAAACTCATCAGTCTGAGGATCAAATGTTGCAGTGGTTTCAAGCCCTTGAACATTGGAGCCATGACCAAGCTCAGTTTGCGCATAGCAGCCAATAATTTGCATCTTATATGCCAATGGCAACCACTTCTGGTGCTGCTCATCTGTCCCTTGTCCTTTAATAGCCGGTACAAACATTCCCTACCAAGAAATTAAAACATTAGAGATACATGCATACACACGTAGAAATGGACCTAGCCTCTAAATTATATGAAGAGTTGAAGACTAAGCCTAAATGGGAAATGAAGGATAGTATCTTGTAATATAACTTGTAAGAACTAGAATTATAATGAAGGCAATAGAAACTCAGTTTCATCCACAAATATGTCAATGTCCCTCAGCAAACATACTTGAAATAGCAAAATTATAATGCCATTAAGACAAGAATTGGGACATACCCAATGAAGATCCGTAAAAGCAGGTTCATCCACATAAAACCTTAGCTTAGATGCCTCTTCTTCTGTAACAACAAAACTTCTATAGTTAATCATATACTCTAATAAAAACACAAAAGAAATCACCCGTTGCTGCCCACCAAAGAGCTTAATAAAAAATGTAGCAGTTACATTAGAGTTTCAATAAAAGACCCACCACTTAGACGGAGCTCATTGATCCGTTTCCAAGCATGAGCCGTCTTTCTCAAAGTGTTTTTAAACAATTCCTTCCTGCTTAGCATAGGTCTGTTATCCTTTCCAAAGGCCTAAAAACAAGAAAGGATAAAACCAAACATTACAAACCCAAAAATAATAACAACAATAATAATAATAATAATAATAAGCAACAGAAGCCTAATCATAGAATCACAAACTAAAGAAAGGAGATTTATAATCAACGCTTTTGTGCATATATTTTTCAAAGCAGCATGAACAGCATAAAAATTGAAAAATAGAGCAGCCTTTATTGACCAATTTTATTCCTTTAGATAATCAACATACAATTTCAAGAAGACAAAGTTGATTGATTACAAATATTACATTGTGCAAGGAACCTTCAGATAATCAACATACAATTTCAAGAAGACAAAGCTGATTGATTACAAATATTACATTGTGCAAGGAAACTTAAATTTATATGATCATCAGATCCGATAATCAAAAACCAAAACAAAATCATGACTAAAATTACACAATAAAACGTTAAAAGAATAATGTAATAATTCACCGGATCACTGGCGACGAGGCGAGAAATCCGATCTGAGAGTTCAAAGACGTGGCGAGAGCCGGCCCAGACGATCTTCATCTCGTTAACATCGAACTCCGCCTTGTTCCTCTCGTCAGCTAGAAAATCAACGCCGCCCATTCTCGAAAAGATGTGATGAAAAGCAAAGCTCAAAACTTAATTTTGCGAATTTGTTTTGTTAAATAAGGCGATGCAGGTAGTAGTCAGGTGGTGATGATTTATTGGAGCATGATGAAGAAAGGTTGAGAGTTTAACTGATGAAGGACGAAGTTTCTACGTGTTTTATATCGAGTTCGTCATCGAGTTCGTCATTGCCTTGTATATTGTTTAAATGATTAACACGTGTTTTTATCTTTTATTTATTTTTGCAAATATTGGCTATTGCATTGTGCTGTTGTTTGTCGGAGAAGGAGACTCGGGGCACTGATTACTTGTTTGTGGTCATGTCCTTTTTTATTTTTTATTTTTAGTTTTATTGTTTTTATTCATATTCACAGCTCCACCGTCACATCTTGAAATTATTGTTCTCAAATTCTTTTTCTTTTTTTTCAGGAGAGATTGAGAAAGAAATTGTTTTCAATTCTTATTTCAGAAGAGATTCAGATATTATTCCCGACTAGTTTTTCTCTTTTCTAAAAAGGTAATTCCTTTTTTTTTTTTTTTTTTTTTTTTTTTGAAGAGATTAGATATTATTCCTCAACTATTTTTCTCTTTTCTTAAAAAGGTTGTTTAGCATATATATATATATATATATATATATAATATATATATATATATAGGTCATGTTTCTTTTTATTTTTTATTTTTAGTTTTATTGTTTTATTCATATTCACAGCTCCACCGTCACATCTTAAAATTATTGTTTTCAAATTTTTCTTTCTTTTTTCAGGAAGAGATTGAGATAGAAAATGTTTTCAATTCATTTCAAAAGAGATTCAGATATTATTCCTCGACTAGTTTCTCTTTTTAAAAAGGTCATCCTTCTTTTTTTTTTTTAAGAGATTGAGATATTATTCCTGATACTTTTTCTCTTTCCTTAAAAAGGCTGTTTAACTATATATATATATATATATATATATATATATATCTATATATATATATATAATTATATATATTATATAGATATAGATATATATAATTATTATTATATTTAAATATATATAGAGAGAGAGAGAGAGAGAGAGAGAGAGAGAGAGAGAGAGAACTTAAATAATTTTTAAAAGGCATTTTAGGAAATTTGCACAATTTAATGAACAACAATGAGCTTCTATTGGTTTCAAACAATAATGCTTAGGGGTGGGCAAGTCTGAGTACCCGCCCAAATCCTAGAGAATTGGAACCGAAACTGACTGATTCTTGGGATTTAAAATCGGAACTAGAATCAGTCGGTTCCTAGGATTTGGAATAGGAACCGGAACCGATTGGTTCCAATTCCTAAGTGTTTGGAACCAAAACCTGAAATACATGTTTCAATTTCAGTTTCGGTTCCAGGTACTTGGTAAAATTTTTAATACCCCCTACTATTCACAAAAATGACAAATATACCCTGTGAAAATACAAATACACTTCCAACTATTTTTAGAAAGTACAAATACACCCTGCAATGACTACCGTCTCAGGCCAATCCAACCTAATTCTGGCGTCGTCAGTCACCCGACTCATGGCACACCAAATGCTGGTGAAAGTAGCAGCATAAGGCAAATGGATTGGAAGAAACAACATAACATGGAATTAAAGTAACAGCTATTCTCATAAGGGAACTAATAGAGGTGGGTGAAAGATGAGTGGTTGGGACTTGGGACTAATCCAAGTTGTTTATTTATTTTTATTTCTCACATCTATCTAAAAATCCTCTTTTTCTCTTTGAATTATTCCTACTAAATATTTTTTAGAATCCCTCTTGAAAGTGATACTTGTGGCATTTCTACAACCGGATCTTTATTCATTCCTCAAAATATCTAAACCCTCCGTTTGTTTCCCCATTTTTTCACTATCCTATCCTATTATCCTATTCAATCCTTTCCGAATACACATTTGTTTTAATATTCTCAATTCTCTTCAAAATTCAATCCTATTATACTCAACTCAAAACATTAACAATTACCTTTCTCAATAAAAGTTTTAAAATTAACAAAAACACCCCCACCCACCCAAGCCACTATCACTCGCCAACAGCCACCACCGCTATTGCCACTACCATAGGAGCACTAGCGACCGGAAATCAATCACGCAGATACACACACAACAAAACTATTTCCACAATCAAAATCCAATCCAAAAAGCCATCAAAAACTCAAAAATCTCAACCCCAAGTCTTCAAAATGGCGAAACCCTAAATGGTGGGGGGCAGCGGCCAGCAGGCAATTAGTGTCAGGGAGGATAGGGGTTTTGGAGGTGGGAGGCTAGTGAGATGATGGGTGGTCGCGGGAGGGATTTTTGATGCCAGGAGCAATCAGAAAAAGGCAAAAATCGAATGGTGGGGGGTGCAGCTAGCTGGCAATTGGTGTTAGAGAGGATAGAGGTTTTGGAGGTGGGAAGCTAATGAGATGATTGGTGGTTGTGGGAGGGATTTCTAACGCCGAGAGCAATCAGAAAATGGCAAAAATCGCGCAACAAGGTGGTGGTGGTAGTGGCACTGGCTAGATTTGGCCGTCAACGGCCAGATCAACGTTGGATCTAGAAGAAAAAGGCTTCGACAGATTCTAACCACCTTTCGGCGGTGGTGGCTGGTTGCCAGCAATATGTGGGTGGGTGGGTGGGGGTGTTTTTGTCAATTTATAAATTTTTATTGTGGGGGGTGTTTAGTTAAATTAACAAACCTAGGATGTTAAAAATAATCTAAATATTTTCATAAAATACTATTCAGAAATATACCAAAAACTTCTCAGAATCCTATCCTATTTTCCAAAAATACTATTCTAAAAAACTTACCAAACAGAGCCTTTTTTTTTTTTTTTTTTTCCATAATCACTTCAATGCACAATATAATCCATTTGAGGAAGGAATGTACATTGGGAATTTAGAGCATGAAGCATGAGATGTTCATGTTATGTTATTTAAAATTATATGTAATTTTAATTTTGGGAACAGTACTTGAAACATTTGTAATTTTTGTAAACAGAATATAGGTTTTATTTGTAATTTTTAGGGGTATATTTATCATTTTTTGGAATATTAAGGGGATATAGAATTTTCTTGGGTACCCAGAACCGAAATTGGAACCTGTGTTTTAAGTTTCGGTTCTAGGTAGGACTGCAAATGAACACCCCTGTTCAAAAATCGTTTGATAAGCATAATGGGTTGTTCGAACTCGAACGAACACAGAATCGCTGTTCGAAATCATTCGATTAACAAAACGAGTTCTTCGAAATTGTTCAATTAAGCGTTCGATTAATCGTTCGTATAACTTTTAAGGGAAATTAGAATAGGGTTTTGGATTTTTGTTTTAAAATGTGGGTTGGGTGGGTTAGCTGGTTAGTTGGTTAGTTTATTGGGTTTTATTTTTTTTATACATATATGATGTGTAAATGTGTATATACAATATTATTATCATACATATATTAATCATAGATTAAATGCGTTTAATATGTTATTAAATTATCAAAATAATAGATTATCATGTATATATTCTCATTAAATAAATTATCATACATATTTTAAATGTCTACATATATATTTTGTATCAATACCTATAAATTTTTAGTGGAATGAGGGTATATTGTAATAGATGATCAATATATATTACAATTTGCAATATAATTTTATATTCTATTATATTATGTATTATATAATAGAATGAGGGTCTATTATAAATTTGTAATATATGTGTTATTAATTTGTTATATATATGTTTTTAAATTTGTTATGCTATATATCACTTGATTATACAATATGTTATATTCATCAATTTGTCATACTATATTTATTATTTATTAATTGAAATGTTGTATGTAGATGCAAAAAATCTACCGTTACGAAAATAGGGTCTGATCCCGTGAGGTTGAGGCCACCAGCAATCCGCTGCACCTGCGCATACAAGAAAACAAGCGTGAAGCTTACGGAAAGCACCGGGTGGTGTTTGTTGTAGGCACTCCGATGCTCAAGTCATGAGCAAGGTTGGGTGAGGTTAATTTAGAGAGGGTTATGGAAAAAAAAGGTTACCAAAAATTTAGTCGGAGACAAAGGCTACAGTAGTGAAGTGAAGCTCTCGAGAGTAAGAAGTATGGGGTAAGAAGGTGTAATGTTCTGTGCCCGTGGTAGGACTGGCCTCTTGTCTAAATAGCAGTTGTAGAATCTTCGAGTCCTAGTAGGACTGTGAGTCCTTGGGAGTTAAGGTTTAGTAAAAAATGAGAGCCTTTGACTTCCTTACCTTAGTGGGAAAGGGAGTCCCAACGGGTCTAAGATACAGATCTTAAAGGAATTAGGATAGTAATGGATCTCTTCGATAGAGTTCGGATAGTGCCAGAGTAAGTAGACAACCCTAAGCTCCAAGTAGACCCTAAGTCTAATAGGTGGTCTAGGATCAAAAGGCCTGGGCCGAGACAAGCTAATAATGAGGCCTAAACAAATCGAGGCCTTTGTTGATTGGGCCCAAGCAGTGAGCAACAGGGTAGGTGTACTGAGCGGACCTAATATGCAAACTCTGTTGCAAGCCCAATCGGAATTGGGCCATGGCTCTGAGCTTTGTTGAAGGTGTCTTCGTCTTTAGGCCTATTGAGGCCGAGGACATTTTTTGGCCCTAACAGTTTGCCCCCACTCTCTAAGTTAAGGAGTGCTTAGCTTAGAGAGTAGATGTTGCGTGAAGGTGTGCTTAGTCGTCCTTCGTCAGCGACTGGTTGAATATGTGAATGTGCTGTTTCTCTGCTCGCGGAACCAAGTAGTATATCTTTTACTGTAGGTGATGCACTCGGTATACCAGGCCGAGTGGGTGGGTGATGCGACTAAATCAACCTTAGCAAGTGCACTAGTCATGTTCAAGTAATAAAGTGATGAGTTTGAGTATCGTCCCACAGAGATCAAAGCGAATATTTGTAATTACCTAAAACTACATATACGTTATTTGAGAAAATGAAATCTTAGAGTGTAAAAGTAACGGATTAAAAATAACTAAATTAAACAAATAAATAATGTGATGAACTTTGCAATATTAATGAAGTTAGGGTACATATTTCCCCCTAATTATGCTTGACAACCACTCTTAATACCTGTTTGTGCTATGAATTGGTAGGATTCTTCTAAGGCC